ATCACTAAGGTTCCTTAACGAGGATACAATAATTTTATCAAAAAAAAAAAAAAGAATGACAAGGGGTCTTTAAAACAGATCTGCCAAAGCTTTTAAATAGTCCCAAAATTTGTATATGTTATTGAATGTTTATATATGTTAGGTGATGTGGTCAAAACCAAACCAACTCAAGGCTACTCAATAATTGACATGCTTGGATAACATCAAGCTTTTAAAGTCACCAAAATTGAAAGAGACCGTGGAATAATGATATCAGATAACCTGGAAATGCAAAACCAGGTAGAAATGTTGCATGCTAGATGTATTTAAAAAAATCTTTTAAGATAGTAGCTAAGACCTAAATCTTTTGGGAATACTCTATTTGATTTATATTTAGCCACACTTAGAATTTGCAATTACAGGTCTGATTATCATATCTTAAGAAAGCCATTGCAACTTCCAAAAAAATTTAGCATATTAAACACAATTACATCTATAAAGCATCCGATGAAGGTTAAGCTGCTTCTGTATTATACTTTAGACCAGTAGAGGATTAGAGGTGATCTTATTGAACAGTTTAAAACTAAAAGAATCATGATCTAATTTTTTTATGTCACAGATTCTCTGCATTGCTTAGGCAAAATGAAAAGACACAATCATCAACTTCCCAAGCAAACTTGGCATTTTAGCAGTCAGTTTATATAAAGCTTTTTTTGCAAAAAGTTATTAATACAATAAAGGGAAATAAGTTCAGAAAATTTTAAATATAAACCAATTGATGTTTTGAAGCACCATAAAACTGCCATAAAAGATAAGCCTAGGGTTATTTCTTTTTGCCTATTTGTGTAATTTTTAGTTGATCATAAAATAATTAAAGTCCATAATATAAAACAATGACTTATTTTCAAATAATAAAATAAAACTTTATAGAAACGCATGCATATTGGTGTAAGGAACATGTGATCGTATATATTTTTAGATATGTTGCTAACATATCTAAAAATATATACGATTTTCTACTTTACATGCATTAGTCATGCTGACATCATCAAAAAATGCATCTGATTAGGTAATTTATTTTTGTTTGAGCTGTTCAGAAGTCTATGTGATTGAATTCATAAAATAAAAATGAAGAAAACCTATGATGAACTATCATGAAAATAATCAGAAACCATTAAAAATAAGTACTTTAAGTACTCTTTGATATAGAAAAACACAATCAAGGACAAAACTCTTTAAAAACCAGAACATATTTTATTTTAAAATATTATGTTAACATATAATATTATCTTAATTTACAAAATAAGAAAATTTCAAATAGTGGAGTTAATCACATTGAACAGCTCATTGATTAGAAACTGTTCTAACTACCATCCAATTGGTCTTTTTACTATCATAAGCAAGCATTTTGAGCCTTTGATTAACAGGCACTTAATCTCTCATATAGAATCTAATAACTTACTTTCTGATCATCAATATGGATTTCAATCTTCTCATTTTACTGCTGATTTGTTAACAGCAATAACTGATAGACTTTATCATGCATTAGATAGATATAGAGAAATTAAGGCTATTGCTCTCAACATTTCTAAAACCTTTGATAATGTTTGGCATGCTGGTCTTCTCCATAAAGTCTTTTCTTACAGTGTATCAGGTAACATCTTTAAGGTTATTGAATCCTTCCTAACCAACTGTAGCTTAAAAGTTGTGCTCAATGGACAGCACTCATCTTCATTTCCTGTAACTTTAGGGGTTCCTCAAGGTTCTATCCATAGCCATATACTTTTTTAAATTTACATTAATGATCTCCCAGATATTCTCAAATCAGGCATTGTTCGCTGATTATACTACCAATTAATCTTAGTATAAGATTTTTGATAAAAGATGTATATCAAGTCTTGATAAGAAGCCAACACTCTCTGATTGCTTAGAGGAGGCAATTGAACTCTCAGCTCTAGTGATTTATAACTCTGATAAGAACTCAATTTTTTAAAAGATAATTGTTATTGCAATACTCTAGATCATCTTATATTTATGAAGAGTAATGTACTCGATGAGTCATCTATGTCTTCTAGGATTAACTCTTACTTCTGATCTTTCTTGGAAAACATATATCAAATCCATTGAAAAATCATCAGCTAAAAGTTGATTCTCTTAATCGTGCTTGAATATTTCTTACTCTGGATTCTATTCTGTATCTCAATAAATCTCTAATCCACCATTATAGCGGATCTTCAAATGATGCCCTTTTTCTTTTAAAATGTCTTTTAGACAAGGTGCAAAAACACAATTTAAACATAGCCTGACTCGCAGTGGAGTGCTGCTACATCGACTGAGGGTTTTGGATGGGGAAGCAATCGTTTTATTCATCATTTTTCGTTTTTTCTTCTTCTTTTTTGAAAAAAACGGTATAGCTTAAGGTAAGCAGAAAAAGTGAGCAAATGCTTATCAAAACACGCTTTAGTAAGTGTATATATATATAAATATATATATATAAATATATATATATATATATATATAT